ACTGTGAATCACTTACGGTTTCCGAGCCCAGTGATATACTAGACCTGACTTGTACCAGTTTAATGACAGCCCATTATATATATATCTTCCTAGTTCCTTGTTCAAGGATATCACACTCAGTTTACAACAGCCATGATAAGAGTATTTATTCCATGGAAACTAGCTAAAAATCAGGCTCAAAGAAATTGGTCCAAATCAATTTCTTTTGTAAACTAGTAATCAAAATAGTTCCCAAATCATAAAGAAGTTAGAATAAAGGAAACTACATATATGTACATAATCACTTAGCAGTGCTCAATAACTACTAGCAATGATTGTTACTACATGATCAGCATGCATACCAGTTCTTCACAGAGCAGAACAAATAACTTTGGAAAACAAGTTGTACAGTTCCATTAAGTAGAAATTGTTGGCGTAAAGCCTTTGAGTAAAAACTCCTGTTATTCTCAACCTTATATTGATGAAGCTTATATTCTACTTGCTTAGTGGTCTTGTCAAATAGAGGAAGCAGAATACAAAGGCTATGATAAAGATCACAAAGGAAACTTAGAACTGGTCAAGGCCTGTGCAGTATAGATCTTCAAATTTCTAAAAGCCTGCTTCTGACAGCTAATAGCCAAGAACTAAGAGATGATAACTTCTAGAATCTTCTGCAGATCAGTTAATGAACACCTCATGGCAGCTCATCAGCTACCATGACAACAATGGCCATGTATTTGTATGGCACTCTACGGTTTAGCATGCATTTCTACATATGTTCAGGTTTAATCCCCACAATTGCACTGAAACAGAAGGGCAAAACATTTTCCCAAAGGCATGTCATGTCAACTTGAATCGCAACACACCTGAACTGGTCATCAACTCATGATCCTCCTGCCTCGGCTTCCCAAATCCTGGGATTATATACACGCACTACCATGCCTGGCCCCAGATTTTGGGTCTTTGAGCCCAATATTCTTTCTTGCATATACCAGGCCACGCTTATAAATAAGAAATTTTGTTTCAAAGCATTTCCATCACTTTATTCAGGAAAAAAATGTACTGAAAAATCCAGTACAAAAATTCACAAAAGATAAAATTACTTGCTATCAGAGACTTACCGGTGGTATTCCTGATTTCCAGTCACAAGGTTAGGGCTCTGCATGTTCAGTGCAATGCAGGTGTGTCCTACACCCCACACAATCACTGCCCCACAGCTTTCTGGACAAATCAAGTACATTAGGAGAGAGGTAGGATAATACATTATCAAAGACCTGAATAAGTGACCTCACAAAGTGAAATAGACCTTTCAGAAAGCTTACCTGAGTGCAAGCTGTTCCATCCTCTGACCGGGAACTGGTAATGGAATATTAAGAAGCCCAAACTGAGATTCCTGCTATGAAACTAACAACACAAAATACTGTAATTTTATAAAAGTTTGTAGGAGATTGTTGATTGGCTGTGTTGAAACTGTCTGTGGCTAGAAGCTATGTACTGAAAACTTAAATACCTGATATCCATTCAAACTTTGAGAAGTTGAGGATTGTGAACATGGAAGGCAGAATAAGAATTTAAATACCTAAATCCAACAAAAGATCTGAGAACATTGGCTTGTTGTGAAAAGCATTACCATTCAGTGACTATTCAGTCTTATGGATCATTTTCGTTAGGACTGAGATCTTTTTCTAAAATTGACTCTATAATGTTTCTTATATATGAAAAGAATTTTAAAACTACAACAGTAAGAAAATATTAACATTTTGAGGCAATAAGACTAAAGATTGCTTTAAAAATGTTCCTAATTACAATTCTCACTTGAAAAGAAATACCGAACATGGATATTCGTTTACCATTGCCTTTGGGACAACTTACTTTGTAATTCTTTTTTTTTTTAATTAAAAAAAATTTTTTTTATTGTGAAAATACTGAACAGAGGGGTTACAATTACATGGGCAAGGTAATGAGTACATTTCTTATCAAGCATTGTAGCCTTACTTTGTAATTCTTTGGTAAAAGTAAAATTCCCCAAGATCTGGAAAGCCAGATTCCTAATAATTTCCCAGCTACTTACAATATATAGGAAGTCAAACCTGTAAAAGTCCCTAGTGGAAAGTGATATGACATCAGTAAAAGCAAGAACTCTTTTTGCTGTTACCTATCTTGGATTAAAATAATAAAACAAACTAAAACCATCAGAACCTCATGAAGTTCATCAAAAGAAGAAAATCTGCAGTCTTTCTAATCTGGATGTATGCCCAAGAGTCAGGCATGCTATCTTGGATGCCCATTAGCAACTGGAATAGTAACTGGAGCTTTGTTTTCACTAACATACATCTAATTGTGCAGCCTTTTCTATTTAAGAAATTATTCTAGGGGCTGGGAAGGTGGCTCAGTGGTAGAGCGCTTGCCTTGCATGCCTGAGGCCCTGGGTTCGATTCCTCAGCACCACATAAGCAAAAAAAAAAAAAAAAAGAAAAAAGCCGGAAGTGGCGCTGTGGCTCAAGTGGTAGAGCGCTAGCCTTGAGACAGCGCCCAGGCCCAGAGTTCAGGCCCCACAACCGGACCCAAAAAAAAAAAAAAAAAAAAACCGAAAAGAAATTATTCTAATGCCAACGTTGAAATACTAGGGCTATGAAATACTAGGGGCTATAGATGTTTAAAATTGCTCAAGAAAAATGAAAAATGATAACCATCACAGCAGATTTTCATTCAGGTTCTTCCTTTCTACATGGTCCACGGTGGAGGCTACAGTATCTGATTAGTAGAGAACAGTTCCTCTAATCTTTAAATCATGCATTCCTTCACGATATTTCAGCCTCATTGTAAACTTACTCTATATAAAAAGCATTTCATAAACTTTGTAGGGAACTGTTACCTTTAAAGAACAATAATATGTCTTTGTTGTTGTTGGTCATGGGGCTTAAATTCTGGGCCTGGGTGCTGTTCCCTCAGCTCTTCAGCTCAAGGTGACACTTCCACTTGCGCCACAGCACCACTTCCAGTTTTCTGGTGATTAATTGGGGATAAGAGTCTCATGAACTTTCCTGCTCAGACTAACATTGAACTGTGATCCTCAGATCTCAGCCTTCTGAGTAGCTATGATTAAAAGGCGTGAGCCACCAGCACCTGACCAATGGTGTGTTTTATCAATAACTTATCTGGCTTAAATGATACCATAAATTATCTCAAAATTTTATTGCAGTTATTGTCCTCAAAACTAAGTATGCTTCCTCAATACAAGCAAGAGTATTAATCTCTAACCTCTCACTTCAAAGAGGAAAATCAAGTAAATAACAAGAAATTAGTCAGAAAGCCATATTTTGCTTTCTACTCAGAGAAAAAATAGTGGAAACTGAGCAGAGTGATGATGGCTCTCACACCTGTAAGTCTAGCTACTCAGGAGGCTGAGATCTGATGATCTTGGTTTAAAGCCAGCCTGGGTGGGAAAGCCTGTGAGAACTTATCTCCAATTAACATCCAAAGGGTGGAAAAAAGCCAGAAGTGGAGTTGTGGCTCAAGTGCTATCCTTGAGGGAAAAAGAAAAGAGCTCAGGGACTGAGCCCTTAGTTCAAGCCCCACAAGCCACTGGTAAAGTATAATCTTTGCATCTTTCATTTGGTGATATACTACACCATTTAATAGTGTCAGAAGATTCTACGTCTATTATCCTTGTCTCAGTGTTCTCTCCTGTAATTATAAACTTCAAAGATAATTCCTTAAAGTTTTGTGTTTCTAAAAAATGTATAATAACACTGAATGAATATAGGTCTACACTAAGATTTTTTTGGGGGAAGGGTGAAGAAATTATTCCTCAAAAGCAAAAACTCTCTGTTGACAAGTATTTTACAAATACTCACCAATTTTATTTTCTTTTATAATAGAACATAATAACTTGAGTCCAATGAGCATCTCACTTGCCATACTGTGATTTCCAACCTTAAACAATATTGTGATTTAACATGAATGTTCTCTCTTTTTTTCTAGTTAATTTTACAAGCAAGACAAAAATAGAGCAACTATCACAATGAGTACATTGATTTTTCTATATGCAGAAAGTGTAATCTGCTGAAAAGAGAATTTCTGACCCATAGACTTTGCTACTATGAGGTAACTTGAGCTGCCATCTTTGGTATATAATACGACTGATCCGTTTATGACAACTAAAATACCAGAATGGAGAAGTCTCACATAATTATAACTAATAATTTTAGATCTGAAAGGAAATTGAGAGATAACCAAATCTATTTCCTAGATAAAAGGAGGAAGACTTGGTTAGAGTTACTCTTCTTGTAGGTACCAGAACTAGAACTAGAGTTTCAGTCTAATATTCATGGTCAATTGTTACTACAGAATACTTATAGTTAAAAATTGTGTTGTTATTTAGAATTCTCTCCCAATAAATCTTTGTTAGACTGTATTACAAAAGAACAAGTATGTTCAAATTCTGATTTGTAATCTTCCTAGTTCAAGTTAAGGACAGGTTTAAGGAAACGTGTAACTTAAAATGGATAAAAATCAAGATCCAGTCATAATCCTTTTCCTTGAATCCTGAATTACGTTGATTTCAATACTAAATCTTAGATCTTTGTCACCTACCTTTTAAGACTTGTAGAAAGTTGTTGATCTCAAAGTGTGGGGCTAAATCAGTGCCAAAGTTTGGCTCATATAAATACTTTTCCTTCATGGCTATTACAACCAGAAACTAAATTTCGGAGGTGGTTCAACTGATGAAGAGCTCGTATGTACAATAGTCTTAATCAGTGAAAAAATAAGAGCATTGTATTTATTTTTAAAGTACATACAGATGGAAAGAAAATAATTCAGTGAAGTAAAAACTAACCTATGGGAAATTTTCACTGACGGATGATCCAAGCATCAGTTCACAATGCCTACAGAGAACTACAGAATGCTCTGTTTAAGGCACAAAGCTTTAAGGTTCTGAGGAGGCTCTCAAAATAGGAACTTAAAAAGGGGATAAAGACAAAAAAAGAAACAAAAATTCAAATTGCAAGGAGCAAAGATGAAAATTTGAAAAGTTAACATATATTTGTTTTTATTTATAGATAGTATCACAGGAACTATAAAGCAGAAAAAGGACACTGGAATGGAAGTTAAGTGTATGCATGCTGTGACTAAGAACAATGTTTCTACAAACTATGGTCAGGAAGAACATATTAGTGTTACAAGAATATGTAATCATGTAAAATATGCAGAACTTATTTAATCTGTGCTTTAGAAATAACTATATACAGTATGGTGAGTTGGAAAGAATTTAAAAGAAGAACAAATGCTAAATATACACCTGTGTATTAGAATTCAGAAAAAGCTGCATTCTGTAAAATCAGTTAACTGTATTAAAAATGACAAAACAAAATGCAAGATATAAAAAAGAAACGTTGTAAGATTGACTTACTGCATTAAGTCCACAGTTTAATCCATGAAATTCCTTTTAATTATCATTTAGATAAAGGCATGCAAATAGTCTTAGGATCTATTTAAGCATCGTCCCCAAATCCACTAAGTCTATATGCTCATTCCCTTCCACAAACTAAGCAGGTATTCGGGTAGCTGCTTCCTCTTCTGCATCTGCTCGGTTTGCATTAATTTCTGCAAGTGTTCGGCCGAAACGTGCCCATTCATCATTGCGGGGAACAGCAATCTGCTGTTGAAGAAAAGACAATGTTTTATGTACAATGAAAGAACAGATCATCTTACTATTATTCAGTTTGTTTAAAAATAATTTTTCCATTAAAAAAGTAATAATTGACCTGAATGGCCTTTCCATAATTACAGGGACTATTACAATGATTTACACCATTTCAAAACAAAAGCTGGTGTTTGTGAAATATGTTGTGACAACCTCAGAGAAGACTTTGCTATTATCACCACCAGTGCAAGAGAGAATAACAATGATGCATTGTAAATGTAACTCCAGTGCACCATCTCCAGGATTTTGCTAGTTGGGAGGAATTCCTTTTAACATTTTTACTTTATTCTTGCACTATTCTTAGTATGAAATAGTTCTTGAAACATGGTTCATAAAAGCTAGTTTCTCAGAACTATTTATTTATGGAGCATAAAGTAACCTTTCTTGATACTGCAATTTCTTCACCAGAAGCTACTACTTAGCATTTAGTGTTATATCAAAAGCAAAAGAGGGGAAAAAAAGGAGTTTGTGATGCTTTTGTTTCACAGAGCCAGTCCAGTGATACATTTTTTTCTTGTTTTCCTTAATATTACAGCATCCGACACTGCTATAATAGGACACAAACTGCTCAAGGGTGGCAAATGGATGTACATACTTCTAAATCTACTCTATCCAGTAGGGCAGCTACTAGACAAATGTGACTAAGTTAATCGAAATTAAATAGAATTTTCGGTTTACTAGCCACCATTTTTTTCAATGGTTTTATGCAGAAAGTAACTACCCTATTAGTCAGTGCAGACAGAACACTTCTATCGGTACAGCTAGTTCAACTGGTGTTCTAGAATAATTCAATCTACCTCCCTCCAGATCCAGTTATGACAGGCCATGGGATATCTTGATAGGCTGGGGAATCATAACATATAGCAGAAGAAAAAATGACTATGGCATAGTTAGGACTACACAGGAAAAAGTCAACGCTGGGCACCGTGGACAGCCAAGCAGAGCACTAATGATGTCAGACTGGCAACTTGTCCTACTGGAACAATTATAATGGCTTCACATCAAGACTCAGGTTTTAGCATTCACATTTCACACAGCAATCAGAAAACTCTCATATTACTTTTGAAAAAAAAAAAAAGGACACGAATATAAAATGGAGACTATGGGAATAATTAATAAGTAGGACGAAAGAAAGGAAAGGTGGGAAGAATAAGACACATTGTACATATGAAAAGTCACAATGAAACTCCTATTTATTTATTTATTTTTGTTGGTCATGGGGCTTGAACTCTGGGCCTGCGTGCTGTCCCTCAGCTCTTCAGCTCAAGGTGAACGCTCTATCGCTTGAGCCACAGTGACATTTCTGGTTTTCTAGTGGTCTATTGGAGATAAGAGTTTCAGAGACTTTACTGCCCAGGCTGGCTTTGAACCGTGATCTTCGGATCTTAGCCTCCTGAATAGTGAGGATTACAGGCATGAGCCACCCTATTTTTTTTTTTTTTTTCAATTTAAAAAAAAAATGTGATTAAATGATTACATAAATTTCACAGTATTGTGGGATAGTGATACTTTGTTAAAGTCACAAACACATTTTAACCTTCATGGAAAAACTCTATATTTTAACTGATGAAAAAAATGAAAGGGGTGAGGGAGGGAATAAAAATAATAAAAAGGGGTGAATATAATCAAAGTGTATTATATTCATGTATAGAAATATCACAATTAAACTCCTCATATTGTACAATTAATATGTGCTACTAAGGAAATAAAGATACTACTTTTGTTTTCTACTATCTGGCCCAAACATATCTATGAATATAGAATAATATAGTACCTAAATATCAATTCTGTAAAATATCAAAACCCATCTATAACCCCACATTTCTTTTTCTGCCTGAAGATTTCTAGCAGTATATGTGTCATAAAACAAGGTACTTCTGGGCTGGGAAGGTGGCTCAGTGGTAGAGTGCTTGCCTTGCATACATGAGGCCCTGGGTTTGATTCCTCAGCACCACATAAGCAAAAAGAAAAAAGCTGGAAGTGGTGCTGTGGCTCAAGTGGTAGAGCGCTAGCCTTGAGCAGAAGATCTGAGGGACAGCACCCAAGCCCAGAGTTCAGGCCCCATGACCGGACCCAAAACAAAACAAGGTGGTACACTCAAAATCTGTTCTACAGGGATATGGGACATGAAGATTAGAAAGAAAATTAATCTCAAGAGTTACTTTCATGGAAGTATATAACTATATGGTTTAGACAATTCAAGAACCACAAAGACTAGATTTTAGACACCAAGACACCTTCACTATGATGCCACTAAATAGGTGTATTAAATTTATAGGCAGCAAATCCCATACCTCTCCCACATCATATATAACAATCTGTCCTTCAGAATCACCCACGGCAATTTCTCTTCCAGAATGGGTCCATCTTACGCGATTAAGAGCAGGATTACCCTCCACAGAAATGCTGGCAGTTGGTACCTAAAGTCATTTAAAATATAGTGCAGTGTTAAAAGTTTCATCAAGATTTCTATAAACATGTAAAACAGTAATTCTTTCAATCTGGCTGTTTTATAAAACAGATGAGAGTAAAGAATTATTCCAACTTTCTTTCTGTTCAGCAATATATTGTGAATGACATTATAGCCAATCCTTGAAAATGGTTTGGGAAAATAAATTTAGTACTTAAACACTCACATGACTGGATAGATCATTTTGGAAGATCTTCTCTTAAATAAAGGATTCATTTTATTTAACTCCTTTAAGTAACCCTAAGCTTGAAAACATATGGCCAAAACACATTTAAAAAGAAAACATTTCAAAAGTCTTTCTAATCAGATCATAGTTCAATTATGGGGGACAGGAATTGTTTTATACTTTGTATCATTGACTGCTTTGAAACCTGTATTTGATAGTTCATAGAAACAGTTCATACGAAGGTTTAGGATGAGCTTTTCTAAAGCCCCAAATTCTTATTAACAGGACAAAGAGAGGCAGGATGAAGCACCAGCCTGCTGGTGCTTTCCTATGCTACACAAGGAGCACCAAACATTTACTGTTTGATACAGACTAAAAAGCGCAATTAAACTTGTCAAGTTTTACAACCTAGCCAAAATAATTACAACTGACATTAATCTTTCCCAAATGATTGGCCCTAAATTAATATAAAAAACATATTTTGATATATTCTTAGAGTTAACAATTACAGGAAAGATCTATACTTATTATCACAAATTTTTGGTACCAAAATCTAAACTAAGAAAATAAAACTGATACTATTCTAGGAAATTAAAACATGTATACCAAGTCCAAATATCTAGTAAGGGCTCAACATTTTCTCCTAGTATTTCAATGTTCCTCCCCAAACTATCAAGTCAGTAGATAATAAGTATTAAGATTATTATTTTTTTGTCTTTTTGTCGGTCATGGAGCCTGAACTCTTTTTCTGTTTATGTGGTGCTGAGGAATTGAACCTAGGGCCTCATTCATGCAAGGCAAGCGCTCTACCACTAAGCTGCCTTCCAGCCCCTAAGTGTTAAAATTCTTACATTTCCAATTTATAACTTCCTTGCCTTTGTATAACCAACTATTTTACTTCAAGGAATTTGTTAAGATGTCACTAGGAATGTGAAGAGATGTGAGAAAAGGAACGGTGATTTTTCTCCTCAACAACCACTACTGAAATTCACATTACTTATACTAACCAACAGTAGTATAAAAATTTTAAGAACATTTTAAGCCTGTTTAAAACATGGTTTAACAAAAATCTATGATAGTTAAATTTCACTGCTAATAACTGATTTCATGTATAGCAAAATTAGGAAAGTTGATCCTCCTTTCTACCTGCATCCCTTCTACCCATTCCGTGTGTGTGTGTGTGTGTGTGTGTGTGTGTGTGTGTGTGTGTGTGTGTGTGTGTGTGTGTGTGTGTGTGTGTGTGTGTGTGTGTGTGTGTGTGTGTGTGTGTGTGTGTGTGTGTGTGTGTGTGTGTGTGTGTGTGTGTGTGTGTGTGTGTGTGTGTGTGTGTGTGTATGGCGTTTTATCACTTGAGCCACAGCTCTTCTCCTGCCTTTTTGGTAGTTAATCAGGGACATGAGTCTCATAGATTCTCTTGTCCAAGCTGGCTTCAAACTGCAACCCTCAGATCTCAGCCTCCTGAGTAGCTAGGATTATAGGCATGAGCCACTGGCACCTGATTCTTCCTTTCTTTTTTGTGGTGCTGAGGATTAAACCTAGGGTCTTACACATGCTAGGCAAGCACTCTACCATGAACAATATTCCAAGATTTCAGTTTTTTGGAGACAGTCTCATTATGTATCTCAGGCTGGCCTTAAGCTTACTACATAGCACTGGCTGGCCTCTTCACTCTCAATCCTTCTGCATAAGCCTCTTAGGTGCTGGGATTACAGGTGTGTGCTCCATGTTGGCTTCATATGCACTTGCACTACCAGTAATACAGTAATTTTAATCCTTAATAGAGAAAGTCATCAAAGTATATATTTTTCATTTAAACAAATAAGACTAAGACTAATGGTTATGGATAATACACAATTTTATCAAGACTAAAAGATAATTTAGAAATTCTGAATTAAGGTTAACATACTTTGACAGTCTGACACTATCTACTTTCTGGTTAAAGAATAAAAAATATCCCAGTTGCCTTGTGAAGGAGACTTTGCCAGGACATTAGAGACATGATACTGCTTTTGAGGAGTAAAAGGAAATGCCCTAGGGCTTGTGGCAATATTATGTCTCCCTTTATTTTTGCACAGCATGCTGTTTGTTATTTAAGGTACAAAGCTTATTTGGTTTCTTTGTGATGAAGCTACAATCATAGAGCCCTTTTACATTCCTTGGGATAAAAGGAATTTCACAAATTATTCAATAAATCTCCAATTTTCTATTTTTCAGTGCAATTTTTGTTATTTTCTTGCTCACCTCTGTATCATTATTGAGATTCCACAAATCCAGTCTCCCCATGCCATCCACACAGGCAAACAGGGCTGGGTGGGTGGGTGACCACATAACATCATAAACGTAGTCTGAATTATCTTCAAATGAATACAAAGGCTTGTTATTCTGAAAGGGAAAGGTGATTCTTAGCAAAGTCAAAATATGACATATACACAAGTCATTAAACTCCTTATCAGTGAAAATAATATGACATGTATTCAACAGGCCTAACATTTTATGATATTTAACTCAACCTAGAAAAAGTTCCTAAAATTTCAGTATAAAATTACTTGGGCATTATAGACTAAGAATCAATTACTGGATTGTACTTTTTTTTGAATTGTAGATGCCATACTATTTTTTCAAAAAAGACTTGTCAGCTAGAGTATTCTAGACCAATCCACAAGTAAGGAAAAGAAAATCAGACTGTTATCAGACAGCAATGCTGATATGACAGCAATGCTTTTGGCTAGAAGACAACAGTAATATTTTTAAGGTATTTAAATCCATATAAGCTATAGATTTTAGATAATCAAACCAACTCTTGCAAACATAGTGTTGTCAGTATAATAATGCATCCTTAAGAACCTTCTGAAGGGACTGGGAATGTGGCTCAGTGGTAGAGTGCTTGCCTAGCATGCATGAAGCCCTGGGTTCAATTCCTCAGTACCATATATACAGAAAATGCTGGAAGCGGTGGTGTGACTCAAGTGGTAGAGTGCTAGCCTTGAGAAAAAGCAGCTCAGGGACAATGCCCAGGCCCTGTGTTCAAGCCCCAGGACTGGCAAAAAACAAAAAACAAAAAAAAAAAACAAACCTTCTATAAAATGAATTAGATTGCCAAAAAAGATGAACGAACAAATATGAAACTAAGTACCAGTTGTAACCACTGGTTACTCTCCTCACCCTGCCCCCACTTATTTTATTTTTTTATATTTTTGGTGCTGGTACTGGGGCTTGAATTTGGGATTGTACTCTCACTTGGCTTTTGCACTCAAGGCTGGTGGTCTACACTGAACCACACCTCCAGTGCTGTCTTTTTGCTGGCTAGTTGAAGGTGAGAGTCTCACTGATTTGTCTGCCTGAAGTTGATGTTTAATCTTGATTGTCAGATCTCAGCCTTCTGGTGATTTTTTTTTTTTAAAAAGAAGAGACTTTCTTTTAGAGACACATACTGAACATTTATGAATAAAATAATGTGTATATTTTAAAATATTAAGTAAAAGAAACCAGAGATATGCCACGTAACACTCATTCTATAAAATAAAAAACATACAAACTAGATCAAAAATTTATATTTATAATAAAAAGCTGCTAAATATCTCAGGATATGGTTAGATCAAATATTTTATCCACTTAGTGGACCAGCCAAGGCAAAAGGTCGAAATTTTAAAAATTAAAAAGAAGGTGCATTTTATAGAATACCATAATGAATATTAATACCATAACAAAAAAGCAACATATCCCCAAACTTACAATGTGACTATTTTACAATTGTTTCCAAGTTTATTTTAACAAATACTAGTTATCTGAGATTAATCATATTTCCTCTAGAAAGCATGCACATTTAACATCAAAATACTATGTCATAATACATTAATTTAACATATGACACTGCAAATTAAAATCCCAAATGGATCATATACTTTTCATTTTGTTGTTAGTACTGGCATTTGAACTAAGGGCCTCACATTTGGCTCAGCTTGTTTGCTTGACTGGAATTCTACCTTTTAAGCCATGCTTCTAGTCCATTTTTTGCCAGTCCTGAGGCTTGAACTCGGGGCTTGAGTATTGTCTCTGAGCCTCTTTGTGCTCAAGGCAAACACTCTGCCACTTGAGCCACAGCTCCACTTCCAAATTTTTCGGAGTAGTTTATTGGTCATAAAGAGTCTCATGGATTTTCCAGCGTAGGTTGACTTTGAACCACGATCCTCAGAGTTCAACCTTCTGAGTAGCTAAATCACCGGTATGAGCCACTTGTGCCAGCCCAATTTTTTTTGCTGGTTATTTTGAAGATGGAATCTCATGGACTATTTTTTGACTTGGTTGGCTTCAAACCTCAGTGCTCCAGATCTCAGGCTCCTGAATAGCTAGGATAAAATGTTTTCTTAAGTAATATATATTTTTTCTTGCTTTGAAGAGTACTGCTACCTAAATGACAAAGGCACAGAAGAGATGCAGAAGGGCCTGGGATTAAGCTTCTCATCTCAGGCCTGTCAGCAACTAGCTTCAAGTGTTTGGAAGTTATTACCCCCATCTAAGTTCAGTTCCTTTGTATCAGTGAATCTCAAATAATCTGATTATTATAACTACGTAGAGAATTTCTAAAAAATATGCTATTTCCTGGATCTCTCCCTAAGAGAACCTGATTTAATTGGTCTTGGGTACCAGGAGCACTGACATTTTAGTCATGTGATTCTAATGTACAACCGAAACAAAACCATGGAACTAGATAATGTCTATAGGTCTTTCTGAAGTTCTAAAAACTGTCACTTACAAATGATATGTACAATGTATTTGCCAAAAGAATAAATAAAAACAAAAGTTTTCTTTGAGTAAACAACATCTCATTCTAGCCCAGTAGTGAGAATAATCAGTGTATGGCCAAAAGACAAGCCATATTTTCCCCCCCTAAGCTGGATATATACTACATTGAACAATGTCCCCTTCACCTCATGTCTATTTACTGACATGACTTTATTTGGAAATAGGTCCTCTGCAGGAGTGTCCAAGTTAAGATGTATTTCACACAGCATTAGGATAGGCTCTAAATCAAGTATGATTGATGTCCTTAAAAGTAGAGAAAAATTGGGATACAGAGACATGGGATACAGAGTAGAATGCCATTTGAGAATAGAGATTAGTGATAAAAGTCCAAGCCAAGAACACCAAAGATTGCTGGCATCACTCAAAGCTAGAATAAAATAAAATAAAATAGGTCTCTCTCAAATCTTTCAAAGGTAACCAGCTTTCCAACACCATGATTTTGGAATTCTAGCGTTCTTAAACTGTGAGAGAAAAAATTTCTTCTGTTTTTTTAAGCCAACATGCATCATTCTTTATAGCAGCAATAGAAATCTCCTACAGGTCATATTTGCAGGTTGGGAAAGTTCTAAATTAATAACATTACTCCATAGTAAGTATTAGATGGTAAGAGTGATATGTAATGACAACATTAAAGAATAGCAGATTCCCTTACTTCCTTACTGAAGATACTTTTTGAGGAATGTATCAATTAAAAGCAATGAAATCCAAAAAAGCAAGCCTTACAAGTAAAATGAAGGAAGTTCCCATTTTATCATTGTCCAGGAGAGAAGCAATCTAAGACAATGGATCATAAGAATTACTACCCCATGGCAAGGCTATCTCTATTTGAAGATGGATGAATCAAGTTATCTTAGCTTGATGCCACTGAATATTTAAATGATAAAACTTCTTTTGTTCTAATTCCTTGCTCACCAAGCAATCTCCTGATTATAATTTGGCTTCCCATGAGGGTTGTCTACAGGAAAACAATGAGCTGGTCAGGCCAGCAGGAGTATCTGGGCCTTCTAGCAGTTAGGTTTCTGGCTCTAAATTAATAAATCAACATTCTCCAGTGTATTGCTGTGTTTTAGGAGCCAGCTAGTTCCATTCAGCAGTCTAATCAACTCTAATATCTGCCAGAATTGAGTTTCTGAATATGCATAGGGGAGGTTAGTCACTGGTCAGTAGCAAGTTTATGAGGTAAATGCTGCTAGGTGGGCCTGGGTTTAGATAACTGGACAGCTTTTCCAGAAGAAATGCCACAATTTCAAAGCATTCTTAAATTTCAACTTGCCTCTTATGTACAGAGTTGTTTTCCTAAGCATTTGCAGGATCTTTTAACCTTACTTTAATGGTAGTACCCTCTGAGAGTTAAGCAGGTAAGCTCTCAAAATAAGGCTGGGCTTTGAAACACCAGAGATTGTGAAAAATCTTAATATGCACATGGACTTTATGAAATTCGAAAGCTACTTTTTCTAAGAAATTACTCTGTTAACAATCTTAGCTTTGTCATTTCACGGTAAATGTTACTTAGACAAATGCTTATTCTGAAACTAAGATATACTGTGCATCCATTAAAACATTTTCTTGTGTTGTGGCTCAGTTGGTAGAGTGCCAATCCTGAGCAGAAAAGGCTAAGGACAGTGCCTGGCAAAAAATAAACATTTTCTACCTAAAATTTGTAACAGCTCTTTTTTCTTTATTTTATTGTGAGGGTGATATACAGAGCGGTTACAGTTACGTAAGTAAGATAGGGAGTGTATTTCTTGTCGAACTTGTTACCCCTCTCTCATTTTTCTCCCACTTCCCACCCCCTGCCCACTGTAACAACTCTTGTTAAATGTGGTAGAACATTTAGCTAATTTACCAGTTCCACCCCTATCAAGCTCTTCTAGAATCTTTAGTTTACCCTGAGGAAGCTTTCTGTAGTGATTTATTTTTCCAAACCACCAAAGTGCTACTGTTTTTGAGTTTTCAAGTTTGCATTTTGAAACAGTAACAATGTCTTTCAAATATATTAGAAGCAATGTCTTGGTTGGTTCAACTTTACCAATATATGGAAGATAATCTATGTTTGAGTATCACCTATATTATAAATATATTGCTGAATTCAACAAAGTAATGAAAACAGACTGATAAACCAGAATGGTGTGGTTATGCTATAAATTTTCTAACAAGGCAAGGAGTAGAGACTTACTACTGCAATACATTAAACTAAATTTAAAGTAGTGCCGAACTGAGATTTATTAGGATTACAAAGGTTAAAATGGAATCAGAATCATGTTTTCAAAGAGATTTTAAAATAACTGCTATGATTCATACTCACTAACACTGCCTACTACTCATTATTATACACATCTTCCATCAAGTTATTTAGTATTGCAATAATAAATACTAGCAACAAATTAGGAAGTGTAAATTTAAGATGGAACTAACGGTTTTGGGAGCATCAGTATGGACTAGTGACATATCCTGCCCAGAGTAATTCTGTGGATAAAAATTTGGAAGGTCCATGAGTGTGTATAAATACATCCTATTCTATGCTGGCCCATCCTGTGGCCACTAGAATGGAAGAGAATTGGTCAGGGAGAAGGGGAAGTTCAGGCATTTTTCCACAGTTGGATAAATAAAGAAGGAACAATATCTGACCTAGTAAGCAGGTATACATACCTATCATTCTTATTCAAAAGCCACTCTTATATTACAAGACAATAAAAGAACAAAAATATCAACTGTCAATCAACTAGTTATGTAGTTCTCCAAAGAAAATATCAGTCCGCTATCACAGATAAATTTGTTCTTGATTTGGCAAAATTAACTCTTGATTTTCACATTCTTTTGTTACTATAAAAAAAAAAAAGACAAAGTCTCAAATTTAAAGCCAAAAAGGAAACTGGCAACCTGAAATGCTGAGAGTGAAAAATCAAACAATCTACAAGTTTTAAGTTGATTAAAAAAAAAATCAACTATGTCTTGGAGTTCATTTTGTTTAGCATCATCTTTTATGGTCATATATACAATGAGGGAGGGGATAACAAGTTAGACAAGAAATGTAATCACTACCTTACTTATGTAACTGTAACCCTTCAGTACATCACCTTGACAATAAAATTAAAATAAAAAAATTAAAAAAAAAATCAACTATCAAAGAAGGCCAAAAACTTGACAAAGATGTAATGTCTTCTGTGACTATGTATAAGACCACTAAAGTACACAGAAGTCCATTACTTCTGTGGCTATCTGAAGCCTGTATAAAAATAATTTTTAATCTTTACAATTCTGCATCTTACTTTGTTTTACTAGCTAGATTAACAATTTTCAATAAAGAATTTTAGATGATGCATTTCTTCACTTATGGTTGTAAGAGTCTTCTTCCTCTCTCTTTTTCACCTGTATAAACCTCATTAAAAGATAAAAGATTCAAGAAAAACCCAAGAATGAAAGACAATTTATTTGCATTTAGGTTCTGTCAGATCACCATTAAGAGGAAAAAGAGGAACTGAACATTGGTATGGGTCTATTACATGCTAGAGACTGTGTTAGGCACTTTTCCAAATGTTTCCTTTATTATAAGGTTTTACTTTTTAATGCCAAAGTCCAAAATGCTTAATTTTAAAAGGCAAAATGAAGTTTTCAAGATGTAGTTTTCTAATTTATTTCACATCAGTCTGTAAGGAAGGATATCAAGACTGGACAACAGTGAACAGTGAGTTGACCCCAGCTCTTTTTCTTTCTTTATAGTACTTGGGTATGAACTCATGCTTGTTAGGCAGGCACTTTCCCGTTTGAGCCATGCCCTGACTGAGCCATGTCTCCCCTCCCGCCCCCGCCCCTGTTTTTTATTGCTTTATTTTTCTGGATAGGATTTCATACTTTTTGGGGGGGCCTGGATCTGGCCTCTTACCTCAATCCTTCTATTGATGCCTCCTGAATAACATGAGATTTTTATAGACTCAAGTCATCTCATCCAGCTAATCTCAGATTTCTGAGGCCAGCTTTCAAAAATAAAAATTCTCTATAATTAGTGAATGGCATCTCTTAAGATCACTAGGTTTTTTTCAAACTGAAGGATAAATCAACTATTATGATAAGGTAGACAGAAAAAAAATGTTTAACTTAAATAGATTCTGATATGCTGAATAAGATTTATTAGCAACAATACTGTAAAAAACTAGGCATAAAATTAAGGTATTTCGAATACAAAATGAGGTCACATGAAACTACAAAGTCGGTTACAGGTGATAATGTTCCCCACTTAGGTTTCTTTTTACCTTTTTTTTGCCAGTCCTGGGGCTTGAACTAAGGGCACTGTCCCTGAACTTCTTTTGCTCAAGGCTAGCACTCTACCACTTGTGCCACAGTGCCAACTTCCAGTTTTTTCTGTTTATGTGGTACTGAGAAATTGAACCCAGGGCTTCATGCATGCTAGGCAAGTGCTCTACCACGAAACCACATTCCCAGTCTCCCCCGCCCCCCTCAATTTAGGTTTCTTAAGGCTTCAACCAAATTGGAGTCATGTTTATTGGAATTATTACAGGATCAGGAAGCACTTTATCATGTAAATAGGTATTTCAAGAAGTTTTATTAAGGCCAAAACAAATTAAACTACTTAATGTAGAATACAGAAATACATATTCATGTCATTACAATGCTTAATTCAAATGCATTACGTATAACCTTGTTGCATAAGACTTATTGTAAACCCGTTTTTTTAAAAAAATTTATTCTGTGAGCTGCAGTTGTACATGTGCATGCTCTCCACAGAACATATGCAAGGGTCTTATGGGTCTTATGCTGGGCTGATGACACTATGTGAGGTACTATGGCTCCGCCCCCCCCCCCCCCCCACTCACCCTAAAGTGGTGGGAAGACAGGTAGAATTACCATATTTGTCACTACTTTTGGAAAACTACAGTATCCCCTATGCTTTCTATAACTTCTTACTAGTCTTTATCTGTTAATAAATGATTCTAAGCTATTTAAAAAGCTTTCTTTCTGAGGCAGTATTAGAGCACCACCTTGTGTCAGAAAACTGACCAAATGAGCAGACACGTATATTTAGATACCTTAGTTGTCCAAAGTTTTACTGTCCAATCAAAAGATGAAGTGACAAAAAGATGTGAGAAGTCTACTGCTCCAACAGCTGCATGACAATGGATGCCTGTGATTGGTCCTTGATGTCCCTCAAACATCTCACTGATTCCAGCTTTGCTATTTCAGAAAAGTGAAAATAGGGAAATCTCTGATGAGTAGACCACACATAGACACACTTCATTGTGGATATACATTATACCTTGACTTATACTGAATGTTTTTCTAGTCAGACTTGATAACACCACTGAAGCATTGAGTACATTTGGGGGCCATAAACATGCTGACAACAGTATTAAAAAAAAATCCAATATCTAAAGTAGTACAATAGGCAAAGGATGGTACATGTAAGACACACAGTCTGGGCTACTTTTAAATCAGGAGCTTTTAAGTAATGAAATATAGATATTCCATTATTTAAAGGAAGCAATTGATAAGGTACTGCTAGACAATTTCAAAACAGATTGAACAGTAGGAAAAATATTACTCATTTTAAAATATATACATGAGATTACTGTACAATTATCAGGCCTGCATTAAAGCTTAAAGTCGAAGTAAATCAAAATGAGAAAAACAGCTGAAAATAGTACTTACAAATGTGAAGGGCAGTATGTAGTATGTATATAATGAATTTGTGATTGCTGAATGTCCCTCCCTACCACTAACTTCTGTGAGCATACGCATATACACACCCACACCCACAACACAATTCACCCTACATACAAAATCCAAAATACTTTTTGTTAAAACAATTAACTTTTCATTTTAGGTGTCTGAATTTAATCTGTCACAACTAAGTAGTAGTTTTAGGCCAGATTTCTACTTAAGGGTAATTTGTTCCAATGAGATTATTCAAGGGAGAATTTTAAATAATTGTTAATTCCAGTTTTGGCTTACCTGCCATGGCGGCATGCTGTGTATACAGAACCTTCTTCACTACCAACAACAAAGTTGTTGACATCTCCCACAGGGAAGGACATAGATGTCACAGCAACTGCCTTTGACTGTTTATGAACCAATTCCATGCTATCCTTTATAGAAAATAAATGAGGAAATTATTTTGTAACCCTCCAATTTTAAATTTCCACAGAAAAGCTTCTAGCTATAACTGGTTTATAAACTATTCTTTTAATATACTATTTACATAAACTTAGCTCAGTTAAATGAAGCATGTTTGAAAACAAAATATACACAACTTATATGTGACTCATATTTAAGTTTATTGTCTATTATAATATTGTAAACTAGTTATGAAAAGCATACATCAGGACATATTTTCAACTAAAAAATAACATTTATCTCAAAATTTCAGTTTTCCAAGTTTAACTAACCTGTGGATGAGAAAGCATGTCCAAACTCCAGGAACAAATTTTTCCATCAGTAGAAATGCTAATCAGATTGTGAGCATTTTGTGTTCCAACAACATTTACACAATAGACTGGGTGCTAGAGATATTAAAGAAAGTTTTCCAAGGATTAGATTATTTTACCAGGAAAAAAATGAAATAAAAATTTTAATTTAATCACAGTATTCTGTTTCATTCAAGTCTTAAAACTCAAGAGTATTTTCAATGTGAATTTGCTGCTATCCTATTGATTGATGAAATGTTGTCTCAGAAGATAGATGATTTTCTATAAATAGCTCGCTTTTCCCCTATTCCCCACCCTGCCAGCAAATACAGAAAAAAGACTTTGGTTCTTGGTTGCTAAATGATAAAGAACTTATACATCAAAGAAAGTACATTTTGAAACCACTCTGATACTACTAAGTAGTTAATGGAGAAGGAACACAGAAGTCTAATGGAAATAACCATATTTACTTACCGTGTGTGCAGCAGCCGACAGTGGAGTTCTTTGCACTGGAGTTCTTTTATTGCTACGGTTATCCCAAAGCACAATTTGGCCTGAATATGTACCACCAACAACAAGATTTGGATGAAATTTTGCAAATGTAGCAGACATCACAGCCGACTGCAAATAAGTAGGATTTTTATATTTACGATTAAAATGGAAGAAGCCTCACACATTATAAAAATATATACAGTACAATTTTTATTGTTTTAGAAATATGAAAACATGTTTCAACTTTTTTGCTTAGAAGTCAATGTAATATCGTTTACATACATTTATTTAAGGAATTTATCAAAGAGAAAAAAAGTTATTTCATTAGATTACAGTATTAAAAGATACTTCTGATTTCTGACTATAATCTGATAGTATATACTAGTTTTAATTTAGGGTAAGGGTTTATTCAGGATTATGATATTGTTAAAAGATTTTAACTTGCACAAGTAAAAGACTTGCAAATTCTAACTTTCTACTAAATCTACGTTAAAAATCTGCATCTGTTTCCTACTTCAACCATATGTTTCTACTTAAAACTACCTAGTTCCAACTCCTCAGGCCATGTCTAAGTAATTCAGTGGGCCAACTATCTAATTGTATATTCAGCAAGTAAGTTCCTGAGAAACTCCCTGTAGGAAAGACATTTTATAAATGATTTCTTTTATATGATCAATCACAATAACAGAAAAATCACAAATGCAAAAGACTTTCAGTGTGATTAAACATTATAAGAGATGTCAGAAAAGCTACAAAAGACAGATCATGTTGAACTGAAAAGTATTCAGTTTTCTGTTAACATCTGTTTGCAAATATGGAGGGAGTTTAGTAAATGCCAATCCAATGAAATAATTATGTTGACAAGAAAAGAAAAAAGCCACTTGTCTAAATTCATTAATGAATCCTTAAACTTGGGAAGACTGTTAAAATATCATCTTACCTGGCAGTGGAACACATACTCTGGAGTAGTTTTTTTGTATTTCATGTTCCAGACAAGGGCCACACCATCAGGCTCATGAGGAGCATCTTCATTGTTGTTATAGGAAGCCACGAGTAACTCTGGATACTGCTCACAAGAATCATGGGGAAAGAAAGGCTATCAATAAGAACTCTTTTTTGTTCCTAATGATTTGATTATAGATTATTCTGAAAGTACATATACCTAACATTTCATAGTTCTGGGTAGTTATCTTTACAGCTTTACGATATCAGAACAATTTTGAACTAACAGTCATTTAAAATGTCCTAAGGTTAAAACATTTAATTTATTCAAAGTATTTGATAAGTGAATGAAATTAATAAAACTTGGGCATAAATAAACTCTTGAATTTCAGATATAAATAATGCTTCCAGTTATTGCTTTCAAAGTACACAAGACAAACTTCATTAAAATAAACATTAATTCCATCATCCATTATTATTTTAAATGATTTAATCACAAAAAGTTCCTATAACTAAAACATAACTAAATAAAACATGCTAATTACTTTAAAAATGTATAAATAGGAGCCAATTTTAATCTTTTACCTGAGATGACCAATCCAAACAACTAACAACTCGATGCTTCGACCAACGCTCATCAAAAAATTGTCGATTTAACGATAGTTTAGCACCTGCTTGAATCTCTCTACAGAAAAAAAATCACCCCCCCCAACAAAAAAAATCTTGTTATAACTTATATTACTCAATCTTAGAATAATTTAACACTGGTATAAGCTATAATCTTAGCAATTAAACAGTACCCTTCTTTGTCTTCCAAATCTCTTCCACTATAGTCAAAGAAGATGTTAATCTGCTCAGAAAGAGCTCTTTCTACAATTCTTGTAGAATGGTCAAAAAAGCTTAAAAATTCCTCTGAGTGCAAAATTTGTTGCTTTTCTTCTTCAGTCAGCTCATGAGGAGGCTCTGGAAAACAAAATTTTGCTTTCAAATATAATTTAGGTCAGTCAAATCATGTCAATTTCACTATCACAGATCAGGAATGCCATATTATTTTTTTCCTATTTTTTTAAACTAGATACATCTCTTTGCCATAGAAAAATTTATTCTATTTTAATATATAAATAAAAAACTCTTAGAAGAAGCAAAACTTTTAAAGTTAATACTTTAAAAATACCTTTACTATCACTTTCTTCATCTTTTTTTAAAGTTTTCTCTTCTTCAGGTTCAGTAGGTGGTTTAGGAGTCACTACATCATCTTCTTCCTCTTCATCTGAAAAAAATGGAATAAAACAAAATTATTTCTATAAAAGTAGATGATACATTTTGAGGTAGAATTTCAGTAAGTATCATGATTATCTAGATAAAAGCAAAAGTAAACCACTATGTTAAGATAGACCAAGTACAAATAATATGAATTTTACCAACATAATCTTTAAGAACAAATTCTTGGTTTTTACATATACCTATGTGGTACAGTCATACTAAATTCTATAGCTACAAAAGCAGGCATAAGATATGCAAGTAGGATGAATTCCTCATGGAAGTCTCTAAAAGCTTGCAAGCATTTATCATTCCAGACAGAACAACATGCAACTCCTGCATAGTTTTATATAGCATGCTGACACATTAATGCTGTAGAATGAAGAAAATCAAATGTCTAAAATAGCCCACAGAGCTGGCTTCTTACTTGTGATCTGAAACCATCAGTGCCTAATGGGTCTTCATATGGCATAAAGACGGCTTACATTAACTCTCAGGTTGCTATTTGAGAGGCAGATTTTAAAGATAATAGCTATGAGATCACATTTTCTATTCTGTCATTTTAAATGGCAAGTCTCATTATCTATGGTTGTATGATGTGGCAATAAGCACTTAAAATAATGTTTTCTTTAATTTAAGAAACTATATTGAGATATACAATGTTTAATGAGACTTAAAAAAAAAAAAATCACCCAATCTCTTGCACCTGTGAACCTGGAAGCAACTTAAAAATCATTTGTTTAAAAATGTTATAGAACATATAAATCTGCCTACTTTCTCTTTTACTACAAACTACGATAGACTTTTATGAAGAAAATGCTTATTTTTATTGCCTAACCATGTGTTATCTGTCTAGAAGGGAATGACAGCAGGCATCTGCAGCAGAGTGCATCTCAAGTACTAAGAGTCTATTGAGTAAGGGGACTTTACTTGCTATAGTCATTTCCTTGACCCATGTACAAAATTATCTAAAAAACACATACATACAACCTATACAAAAGAATGGTTAAGCTGGGAACCAGCTGCCTAGTCATGGTCCCAGCAGCCAGGCCAGCTGACTAGATAGGAGCAAGCAGATGGCACTGCTGGGATTGTGTCTTTCTGCTACAAGGTGGCAATGGGATGGCATAACATTCTTCCGCTTGACTGCTTCCAATCCTGTGTCTCTCCCCAATGGCGAGCCTCTGCAATTACCCGCACTCCAGGAGGCCTACAGAGAAGCCTTTACCCTGCAAACAAAATGCAGCATGTAGGCCACACCAGCTGCCGAACCACACACAGTGTTAGGTTTAGAGAGCCACGAAAATCTTTCTAACTCTATAGTATAAGCAATAAAAATATAACTGTACCTGTGGAAAGAAAGCTTTAAATGACACTGAATAATGCACACAATGATACAACCTCCAACTTAATCAAAATGATAATGACGTATGCCAATCCTACATTACTTGAAATTGAGCGATTTTTACGTTCTGACAAGTTTACAGAACTAGGATAAATGGCACGAATGATTTCAATATATGCTCATACTTTTGAACCAAATGGTGAAGGTTAAAATTTTTCCTTTCAAGGGCCTCAATCAGCCACAAAGGAAAACAGTAATCACTGTCTTTTCAGCCAGCCCAACCGCATTTGTCAGCCCTTTCTCCGTCAATGCAGCCAGAGCAATCAACCTGCCAAACATTCAGAATGGAAAAACAATCTGAAAATACAGGGTATAATGCACCTGCCAGTGAAAATGGCCATTTCAAGAAAAGCTAGTGATCTCAGTGACCCTGCTGAGGAGGCGGTGGTGCAAAGGGGAAAGAACACGTAAAAGAATTCTTAGTGATCGCCACTCTCTCGCACATTGACACTTCCTTACAAAGCATGCCAATTACAGCTTTTGTGCTACTTAAAAAAATGAAAGCTTTTTTGGGCAAAATAATCACATAGAGAAACAGAAAGACACTACTCCTTTTTAGATGAATTCTCATATACAACAGATTATTAATCTGAAAACAGTATAAGGGGTGGCAATATAACGGGTACTGCTCAAACATTAAAACTCTCCCACAAATCATCTACCAGTAATGTAACAATTTAATTAGATATAATTTAAAAAGCTGACTTCTGGAAATACAGGATATTTTGTTTCAATTAAAAATTCAGTATAAGAAAAATACAAAAAATATATTTAATTTTCTGCTATTACTATCAACTTATTCAGATTTTATTAACTAATAGGGTTCATTGCATGTAAATTCTAAAATCAAGGTAGAGACTTTGAGTTATCCTGGACAGGTCATTCTTGAGCACTGTGAATTATAAATTACAGCCTGTTACCCACATTTTATTCTCCTCCCTCAACTTTGTTGTATTATCCAGCTTCTAAGTACTATTTCCAATGACAGGTGTCAAATTCCTGTCATAATGCATATGGTCAGTACTTTAGTGCCAAGTGACCTCATAATCTACATATTTAACAGAAAAGATCTTGTTTACAGACACTTTTCCTTTCAAAATTTAAAATGTAGATGAAGTATGATAGTCAAGAGATCTATATCTGAGTGCTATATAGCACTTACCATGCTTATGTGTCTACATAAATTATTTTAGCTGAAGTTTAATAATTATCAATTATTCAAATACATATTCTTGGAATTTCATTTTAAATCAGTGTATAGCTCTTCCTTTCTGTGTGGGTTAAACATGGATTTAAAAACTATAATGAAAGTCTAGGCTTCATAAAAATGATTAAACTAAATAAATGGTCAGGAACACAAAACAAATTCTACATTATTAAAAACTACAAAAGTACTAATTTTATTATAAAACTGATTTAAGCAATTATGTACAGATATCAACTGTCCAAAATTTCTAACATTAATAACATCAGATTAAAGAACTTTCCTCTGGAACAAATACAATTCTCTTATTATAAACTAACACAATAGCTTCTTCAGAACTATGAATATGGACAAAAATAAAACAGTATTATAGTCCTAAAGATTTTCTAAACCAGTCTCTATTACATGGGAAGCTATATTTAAAACTGGAAAGGACTATGACAGAATAGAAGACTGAAAAAGTGGTACTTCCATACCACATCAATTTACTGATGAATATTCATTAAAATATGCTAAGTGGTTAACTCCAAGCTTTCTCTGACAGGGAAGCTAAGATTACAAAACTGAGCAGTAAAGAGTGCAGAAAAGTAGCAGTTACTTTTGAAATGACAAATCCCTTGTCAATGAATGCTAAAACTAGGCTTAATGAACCATTGCATTTTTACTTTGAGTTAACATCAAAATTGTGATGTATTTTGGTGAAATGGAAAGAAAAGCTGTTCTGTAAATTAAGCTGCACCTAGAAATAACACCAAGGAGTGAATTTCCACTTATCAGAATAATCTGTTACAAAGGAGTAGGTTAATCAAAGTTAAATCATCTGTGAAATGGGTGGCTTTTGTCAAACTGAAGGAAGATGTCTTCAGAACACATATTCTCATACATATGTTATATTACACTTAAGGTATACCTAGGAACAAATCTTAAAGTAATTTTAAAATATTACAAGTTAAAAAGCAGTATGCTTAAAAATATAGATTGACACAGGAATGACTTTCCTTTAATATTTTCAAAATAATCTTTTTTCTAGATCAACATCATTTTAAATCATTTTCTTTCAATCAAGTCACTCATAATTTCACCTTATATCTTAAAATCAAATGTATATTTAAGAGAAACTTCACTGGGAAAATGCTTCATTTCTACCTATGGAATCTATTTTTTAACATCTAGAGTAAGATGTAAGGTCACATATTAGTTTACTAATTTGTATTTTTAATAAGAGACAGCACATAGCTGACTTTCTAATCAGAAAGTATTTTGGATATTAGATATACTAATTATAGTAACGTGAATTATGGCATTGTAACTTCTTTGCAGAACTATTTAATAAAAGTTTTAAAGATAGTTTATATCATATAAAATTGAATTTGACTCTCTACATGTTTAATATCTATAACCTCATCAAATACTATATTTTTCTAAGGCCATAGTTTTAGATGTTCCGATTAAAGAATACCTAATATTATAATGTTCAGTTTATATTCTCAAAGACTGCTGGTTAAAACTAATTTTTAAATACCTTCCTGAAGTTTTTTGTTTTTTGTTTGTTTTTGACTGGCACAAGGCTTTGAACTCAGTGCTTTTTTTGTTCAGCTGACAGTCTACCACCTGAGCCATGCCTCCAGTCTGGTTGTACATTGGTTATTCTGGAGATAGAATTCTGAGGATGTTTCTGCTCAGGCTGGCTTCAAACTTTGATCCTCCAGATCTCAGTCTCCTGAGTACCTATGATTACAGGTATGAGCCACTGGTACCTGGTTATTTCAGAATTTTTTAAAAAATGCCCTTTATGGGGTTGGAATGTGGCTCCAGTGGTAAAGCATTTGCCTAGCAAGCTTGAGCCCTAAGTTCAAACCTTAGTACCATCAAAAAAAGAAAAAAGAAAAAAAATTAGATAAGGGTAATATTGCACTAAGCATAAGGTCACCAATTTGGTCCACTTGGGAAGTGTATAGTCTAGATGTTCAGATAATATAATAAAAGATTAAGTATTATTTCCATATAATAATCTATGCATTATAAATGCTAGGGGCTAGAGGTGTGGCTCAAATGGTAGAATGCCTGTCTTACAGCATAAGACTTTAAATTCGATTCCCAGTACTACTAAAAAAAGGAAAAAAAAAAAAAGGTAATCAACAAGTATTGAGGACTAGGGACTAGCCCAGAAAAACAACAAATTACAAACTTAGTTACATATAAGAATATGGTATAGAATAAGGAAAATGGCACTTTACTAGAAATCAAATGTTAAGCGCTAGTATAGCCCCTGATATTTCTTCCACTGTGGACCTCAGTTCATCAATTAACTTCTCAAGGGCTTCAGTTTCCAAAGATATAAACTAGCTGAGTAAATAAACTGTAGATTTTTCCTCCTTTAAAAAATTCTTTGTATTTTCTCAAAAATGTACCAACAATAAAAGTCCTTAATGAAGAGGTATATACGAAAAAAATCAACATTTTCAAAAGAGCTAAAACTTCTAAAAGAGAAGAGAATAAACTAACCACCAAGAATATATCTGTGGACACCACTCTTGCCAGAAGCTGTTTACCTGTGGAGAAGGAAATTGAGTGTAGTCACATGGTCCTAGTCAATTTCATTCACAGTAGGTGCTTTAATACAGCAAAGCACCTCAGTTCAGAAACAGAACTACCAACTTACAAAGTAAACTTGAATGCTTCAAATGGAGGGAAAAAAAAGTCAGTGAAGGTATCTTTTAAAAGAATAGGTCAGCCATTAAAAAAAAGTAAGATAAGAGTTAAAGACCAATTTTTACCTTCAATTTGGTAACTCACTTTACTTCTACACTGATTATACTGCCCATCTAAATTTACTGTCTGTTATACTCTAGAGGTAAATTCTCCCATATTTTTCTCATGGTGAGTTTTTGATTTTCACATAATTTAAAAATTAACTTTTTAAAAAAAATCTTTTGAAGGTCTAGGGATTGAACTTAGGGCCGTGTGCATGCTGGGCAAGTGGTCTACCACGGAACCATACTCCCAGCTCTGCTATGTAATTCTTAAATGGTAATCAGCCAGGCTGAGTATAAGAACCACTTTAATCAAGCAATGGGAAAGAAAAATTCAGTTAAGCACAAAATGTTCATAGTATAAGTTCTTAATTTCCAAGAGGTTTTCCTTCTTTAAAACTACAACAACTTAGCCAGGCGCTGGTGGCTCACGCCTGTAATCCTAGCTACTCAGGAGGCTGAGATCTGAGAATCGCAGTTCAAAGCCAGCCTGGGCAGGAGAGTCCGTGAGACTCTTACCTCCAATAAACCACTAGAAAACCAGAAGTGGTGCTGTGGCTTAAGTGGTAGAGCTGAAGAGCGCAAGGACAGTGCCCAACCCCAGAGTTCAAGCCCCAGGACCACTACCACCACCAACAACAAAAATGACACTTTGATGAAGATACAGCAAGAAAATAACATAGTATAAGATGCTTTCTTTCTCTTTACCTCCCTCCCTTTCTTTTCATGTTTCTCTTGTGCTCATACTGGGTGTAAGAGGGGGAGGTTGAACTCAAGGCCTGGATGCTGTCTTTTAGCTTTTTTGTTCAAGGCTAGTGCTTGAGCCACAGCTCCCTTTCTGGCCTTTTGGTGGTAAATCAGAGATAAGTCTAATGGACTTTTCTGTCCATGCTGGCTTCAAACTGTGATCCTCAGATCTTTGCCTAGAATTCCTAAGTAACTAGAATTACAGACAAAAACCACCAGTGCCCAACTCTTAATGAGGTGTTTTTTAAACTACAGGTCTAATCCAATAAATTGTGGTATGGCCAACATTTTTGGAAAACAATATAAAAACAAGAGAAGGTATTGTCTCATGCAATTTGTTTCATTACACATCTGTGGCAGTTTGTATGTGACTTAAACTACTTTCTGTAGGTTACTATCATAAAGGCACAGAAGTTGCTGCCTCATGGAAGGAAGTATGAGAGAGAAAGTATACCTCAGAATCAGTGACTTGGTTTAGCATCATCTCTGCGAGCTATGTGTTCCTTGATAAACTACTTCTTTTAGCTTCAGCTTCTTCATGTGTAAATAAGAACCAATATCTAACTTTCAGACTTTTGGTAAGAAGATTAGAGATATAATGCTTCACACAAGGTCTGATACATAGTGAGAACTCTTTGCCATTGTAATAGCTCAAATAGTCCATTTAATGGATATCATCAGGTCCAATTTGGTTCATAACTTTCAAAAGGATAGAGAGAAAAAGTTAAAAAAAAAAAAAGCACATGTTGATATTTACCAAGTGATACGAACATGGGCTCTAAAAGGCTAGAAAGGAGAACCTATGATGGTTTTACAGACCTAAGAGCAAATATGCTTGGGATATATTTATATGAAAAGCAAGTGTTGGACTTATCACATTTTTGTATCCAAATTTCCTATAATAGCATTAATACTCAAATATAGCCAATTTTTTCAGTAGCTGCTTCCAGAGTAAAAGCATGAAAATAAACATTGCAAGCAGACAAATTTATATAACAATTCCATTACCAAATATTTACTCAGTACTTACTAAATGCCAGACATGGTTCAGGTTGGGCATCATAGTAAGGTACAGTCTCTATGCTCATGGAAATTTTGGCCAAGAGGCCAAAGTATAATGATGTTTAAAGCTTTGTTCTGAGAAGATAAACCTATGAGACTGATACTCACAAGACAATAGGTTGCAAATGATCTGCACAACGTGTGTGTGTGTGTGTGTGTGTGTGTGTGTGTGAGAGAGAGAGAGAGAGAGAGAGAGAGAGAATTTTGGGGGTAAGGAAAGAGGGTGAAAAGTGAGGGAAGGAGTAACAAGTTAGACAAGACGTGTACTCGCTACCTTACTTATTATGTAAACTGCAACCCCTCTGTATATCACCTTCACAATAAAATTATGATCTTTTTATTTTAAAAATTACTTGTAAAATAAAAATAGGAAAAAATACTTTTAAAAATGCAGTCTGATATTATGCCATTATACATTCAAATTAATTCAGGAGTACATGTCCACATTTTTAAATTTACAAGTATCTTGAAAATAAGCAATTAAAAATGCAAATTTCAGGCCAGGAATGGTGTCTCAAACCTGCAATCCCAACTACTTATGAAGTGCAGATTTAAGGATTGGGGTTTAAGATCAGCCTGGGCAAAAGTTGGAAGAGATTCCATCTAAACCAATAAAAGCCTGATGTGGTGGAAGTGTAACTAGGAGAACTGCAGTTCAGGCCAGCCCAGGCATAAATGCAAGAATCTATTTATAAAATAATTAAAACAAAAACAAAAAAGGAGGGTACAGATCAAGTAGTTGAACACCTGCCTAGCAAGTATACAGGCCTAGGTTCAAATCCCAGTACTACTCCCAAAATACACATTTCAAGTAGTATTTGAAACAAAGTAGCATCTGAATGTATACGCACAAATACAGAATTTCAGAAGGAAAATATTCATTGGATACCCAAAGCAAAAATAATGCAGCAGGTGCTAGTGGTTCATGCCTGTAATCCTAGCTACTCAAGAGGCTGAGATCTGAAGATTGTAGTTCAAAGCCAGCCAGGGCAAAGTCAGTGGAGACTCTTATCTTCAATTAACCACCAGAAAACTGGAAATGGTGCTGTGGCTCAAAGTGGTAAAACACTAGCCTTGAGCACAAAGAGCTTCAGGGACAGCACCCAGACCCTGAGTTCAAACCCACGACCAAAAAAAGAACTGAACTAAAAAAAAAAAAAAAGTGAGTAATGCATAGTGGTATCACATTTCCTCTCATATCCTTTTTGTACTTTCTAAATTCTCTAAATATAGTACTTCAATAGTTAGAACAAATAGGAGCCAGGCATCGGTGGCTCACACCTGTAAGCCTAACTACTCAGGAGGCTGAGATCTAAGGATCGTGGTTCAAAGCCAGACCGGGCAAGGAAAGTCCATGAGACTCTTTTTTTTTTTTGGGGGGGGGGGGGGGTCTGGTCGTGGGGCCTGAATCTAGGCCTGAATGCTATCCCTCAGCTCTTCAGCTCAAGGCTAGCGCTCTACCACTTGAGCCACAGAGCCACTTCCGGCTTTTTTCTTTTTGCTTATGTGGTGCTGAGGAATCGAACCCAGGGCCTCAGGCATGCAAGGCAAGCGCTCTACACTGAGCCACCTTCCCAGCCCCTTCATGAGACTCTTATCTCCAATAAACCACTAGAAAACCGGAAGTGGCTCTGTGGCTCAAGAGGTAGAGCACTCGCCTTGAGCTGAAGAGCTGAGGGATAATGCCCAAGCCCAGAGTTCAAGCCCCAGGACCAACCAAAAAAAAAAAAAATTAGAAAAAACGTTAAAAAATTAAAATTTTCACTTAAATAAAGTTATAGTAGCATTATGGCAGGTATTATTAAAATAGCTTTAGAATGCCTTACAGTTCAAACATTCAAAATGCATTTCAAAAATATGATATTGCTGGACATTGGTGGCTCATGCCTGTAATACTAGATACTCAGGAGGCTGAGATCTAAGGATCATGGTTTGAAGCCAGCCTGGGCAGGAAAATCCTTGAGATTCTTTTTTGTGTGTGTGTCAGTCATGGGGCTTGAATTCTTGAGATTCTTATCTCCAACAAAATACCAAAAAGCCAAAAGTAGAGCTGTGGCTCAGAGATAGTGCCCAGGCCCTGAGTTCAAACTCCAGGACTGGCTCCAAAAAGAGAATTAGGTCTAAAGCTGGGCACCAGTGGTGGCTCAGGCCTGCAATTCTAGCTACTCAGGAGCCTGAGATCTAGGTTCCTGGTTCAGAGGAAGCTAAGAAGACAAATCTTTGAGCCTCATCTCCACTTAACAGTAAAAAGCTAGAAGTGGAGGTATGGCTCAAGTGGTAGAACACCAGCTGTGAGAAATAAGGTCCATCAAAAGCTCAAGGTCCTGAATTCAAGCCTCAATCCTGGTTAAAAAAAAAGAATTAGGTCTATATTTATTTATTCTTTTGAAAAATGATGACAGGACATTAGAATACAATATGCTCTATGCAATGTAATTTATGTGACTTCCTTTGGTAAACAATTTCTTTTGGGAATGATCAATAACAAGTAATTCTGCTTCTAAAAGAAGTCTGTATCTGTGACAAAATGTAACCCAAAAGAACCAGAATATACTATTAACTTCTGAAAGAAAAAGTTAAAAACTCTAAGAAAACCAAGACATATAAAGACAAAAGACATGAAGCTTCATTAGTTTCATAAAGGAAATACACCAAAAGTAAAACAAAAGAGAAAGAAAAGAATTGCCAAAGAATCTACTTATTAATGTTAGATCTCAATGATAATCATAATAAGGACAGCGATATTCACCTTCTTTGGGTTGAGCCATAACTGGAGTCTGAGTTTCCTTTGTATATGTGACAATTTCTCGAGGAGGAAAGTCAACTTGAGTAATTTTGGCCATTCCAAGTTTAATAGGTCCTCGTCTAAATTAAGTAAATACAAAACTTTTAAATACAATAAATGATACATTTTAAGCATATCAAACCACACTATTTTCAAAAATTAATAATTAAACATTCATGTATACTCAGCATTGTAATTTAAATCACTGTTTTAGTCAATAAATTTTAGATGAACAAATAATTGGCTTTGTTTTAGCTGAAGAATTATAAGGTAGCACAAAAAATTCTATTTCTGAATCATTTAGGGTGTTTACTTTTTTACTTTCAAAAGGCAAATAATTTCAGTTTTTAGAACAAATGTATGGCGAGTAACAGAGTAAGAGTATAGGAATTTTAGAGTGAACTGTTGACTAGGTTGGTTGTAAGATTGAGATTTTAAGAATTACTAAGGATGATTCAGGACTTTTTTGAAGAGTCAGTTACAGGGATCCACTCAGACCATGTGTAGTTCCATTTATCATTAGAGGACTTGAGTTAAACCTTTTTTTTTTTCTCTTACTTTTTATATTTGGCAGAAATTGAAAATTGCCCTTTCAATTTGGATTTTAAAATAAAGTACTTAAAACTTTCAATTTCTATTCTCTACATGATCAATATTGTTTTAATTTTCTATATAGTCTATACCTAAGTGAAAGCAACAGACCTTTTGAATATAATTAAAATATAAAAAAGTCACTTCTTTGGGAGGAAATTTTTACGTGGTGATTATATTGGATGTTTAAATGATAAACTAAAGTATACTTTAAAACTAACTGAGAAGTTCTCTAATTATGGGTCTATCTTAACAGATATCCAATAAACAGTACTACAGCTTTCCAAATATCAAGAAAGATACCTAGCACACATATGTCACTAGTAATGTAATTTCATCTAACAACTTTTACTTAATAAATCAAATCTTATAAAAAAAAGTGTTATAAAGTTAACATATTTTAATACTAATCTGCTCTAAGAGCTTACATGGGGGGTGGACATCAATTTTTAATGTGTTTTCTACTTAGGACTATCTCGGCCTTAAAAAAAAAAATCACCCAATAATTAAATGGGAAATTTTTAGTGGGTTTAAAGAAATAAAGGTTGAAATTTATTATTCTGAATTTCATAATTTGATTTTTAAGATGACAAATCATATAAAAAGAAAACCAGTTAAAAGATATCCGGAAAAAATGTTCAAGCTAAGCCAATAGTATTTGGAGTAAGTTACTAATGCATATAGAATCTAAAAGTCAAAACTCCACAATATTAGAACAACATGTTCAAGATTTTGTAGGAGAAAAAGGGTGTGAAGGTATCCAAAAGCTACTTTTACTGAAAATAAAGAAGCAATCAGAAGGAAGAGGGAGAAGCCTCAGATAGCTAATAGAGAGGTCTTCTGATTAATGTGCAAGAAGCTCACATATTTTTCTTATATGCTTCAATTCAAGGCTATTTATTCTGCCTATAGTTACAATTTTCAAATTATGGTCACATGTTTTAGAACTGTAAATTACCAGGGGAAAAGAGCTATTTGAGTCAGGTACAATGACAGCAGCAAACATTTAGAATTTGCATTGGAGCCTAGAATAAATGGGTCAGGGAGAGAGGGAGGGAGGGCAGGAGAGAAAGAAGAAGAAAAAGAGAAAGGGTGGGAGGAAAAGGGAGGGAGGATATAAGTAGCAATCGGGGACTATAGTGTAGAGACAAACATATATCCTCTCAAAACTTTAGAAAAATCATTAAATTTTAATAAAGAAAAAGAATACTTGCATCAAGTTATTCAAAAAGGTTCAATTACATGTAGAATAGTTATTAGAAAAAGTAGGGTGAGTTTTTAGTGCATTTTAGAAAACTTTTAAATGAAAATATATAAATAATACGAATTTGGACATTTAAACTGGTAGACTATAGTATCTAGAAAACTATATGTATAGAATTATTTCTTCCTCAAATAATATAGGCTAAATGAGATGTCACAGTAAAATTTAACTCTTGTCCTAATGATATAATATTAGAAACTTAGGCAAATTAAAATTAGGACAGTTTCACAAAGAATCAAATTAATTATGAAAGAGGGAAGGTAATAAATCTATTCAATACCCCAAATCGGAATCTGAGTGAAGCTGAAGAACTGATGGATCTGTATCCCAATGCAGCGTCCTAAATGGTTGTAGGACAACCATGAAGCATTAGTAGAAAAGGCCATAAGTTAGTCAAGCAAATACATTCTGTGAATAGCTGAAGCTAAAGTACTGTTCACAATTTTAAAAATACACATTCAGGTTAGTTTCTTAAAAAGACAAAACCCACATACAAAGTATCATTCAATGTGCATGCAATAAGAATGTGTTTAAAGATACAGGTATATAACCTAGATTAGCTACAAGTACTTTCATGTTATGGGAAATTGATATTAAGTAACAATGGACAAGAACAGCTAACCCGACAACTAAAACAAGACATTATTTATAGACAATAAGAAGCTGGGCCATAAACTAAAGTTTAAGATTCCCAATTGTAAAAAAAAATTAGTAAAATCATCTTACTAAACATATTTCTAAGTGTGCCCAAAACATCATACGTGTGCAGGAAATTGTCACATTGGTAAGGAAATGAGTTACCACGTAAGCTTTTTGGTAAGAAAACCAAATACTATCCCCATTAGTATACAAAATAGTTAAAATTTCCAAAATGTGACCCAGCTATAATTTATGGGTTAAGCACTCCCTTGGACTTACATGTCATCTGCATTAGAAAACAAAGATTTCTGCCTCAAAAAAAAAAAAAAAAATTCTTTCCCTAGGAAGAATATTATATATTCAACTTTTGGGGAATATCAGTTCTAAATAAATATTCTGTAATGTTGAATATTACACAATTGGTAAATACCTTATATGGTATATTATCTACTTAAAGCTAAATTTGGTTATAACTAGAACAAAAGGTACTTTATCATACTTGGCATCCTTGCAGGTTAGCAATACTGAATAATGCTCATAGTTCCTACTTATAATATGGTGTTTAGTACTATCATTACTGTTAAATATATTTTTCTTATGTAAGTTATAATGCATAGTTTTAGTGGCTACAACATTTTAATACAGCAAATGATTGCTTTACTTTACTGGCCTATACAATTTATCAATTAAAAATTAGATGAAACAAAAGAGGAACCCTTCATTGTAAAAATGTGAGGAAAGATCTTGGAATTTAAATAGGGTAGTATGCATGCAATAAAAGGAGGGCACAGTGTAGCTGGGCATCAGGGGTTCATGCCTGTAATCCTAGTTACTCAAGAGGCTGAGATCTAAGCATCGCGGTTCAAAGCCAGCCTGGGCAGGAAAAATCCGTGAAACTCTTTTTCTACAGTAAACCACCAGAAAACCGAAAGTGGTGCTGTGGCTCAAGTGGTAGAGTGCATGCCTGGAGCTGAAGAGCTGAGGGACAGTGCACAGGTCGAGAATTCAAGTCCCATGACTGACCAAAAAAAAAGAGGCTACAGTGAAGACCTGCATTGTACTAAGCAATGAGCAGCAAAAACTAAGCTTTGGTAAACTAAAAGCAGTTTTATGATACAGTCTCCAAAGAATGTTCTGCTAACAGCCTTTACATTAAACAAGAACTCCAGTGTTTTGTTTTTGATTTGTTTGTGCTTCAGTATTGGGGATTGGGTCATGTCCCTGAGCTCTAGCTCAAGCTCGAGCTGGCACAAAGCTAGCACTCTACCACCTGAGCCACAGCTAGCTCCACTTCTGGCTTTTTGGTGGTTAATTGGAGACAAGAGTCTCATAGATTTTCCTGCCCAGACAGGTTTTGAACAACAATCCTCATGATCCCTAGCTTCTGAGGTGCTAGGATTACAGTGTGAGCCATCACTGCCTGGTAGGGACTCTATAGTTGTTTTTTTTTGTTGTTGTTGTTTTTTATCAGTAACATAAAGCTCCTTTCTCAGGATGTCATTTTAGCCTAAAATCAAGTACAACTTTACTTCAGAATATAGCCAGCACTAAAAACACAGTATGCAACATACATGGTTAGATGTATTAAAGGTATCTTCAGACAACTAATGTACTATTCAAATATAATCCAAAAGCTACAGAAATAAGTTGGCCAAAGATGGGGAAAAAAAAGAATCATGAATTACTCAATCTAAATTTCAGAGCTAACAGAAGTGATTAAGAAAGTGAACTAGAAATGTAAAGAAATGTAGTCTCCTAATCTGCAAAGAGAAATGCCTCTTTTCACTGGTCTTTTATATTTATGCATAGAGTGCCATCAGCCCCAAAAGAATTTTGGCATTTAGAAACAGTGGTTAAAACAGATTAAGATTGTTTATTTTGTAATGTCAAATCTACCTTTTCCTATTCTTTATATGTACTAATCTTAGACCTTTTTGGCCAATGAATGGAGCTGAATGTACAATACATCTTATTCATTCTCATCACTGTTCTGTGATATTTTCCTTCCATTTATTCTTTCATTAGTATTATTCTTGCTCAATCTGGGTTCATTCTGGCTCATTCCCAGACCTGAGTATTAATTAAACACCTGAGCATTTAAATGACATGTTTTTAGAAATGCATTATTTCACTATCAATATCACCATCTACAACATCAATTATTTCTCCATTATGTACTACGGAGATGTCTTAATGAAATTCATAGTTTTGTTATTATGTATATGTAAAATGAAAGTAGTCACTGAAAATTAATATTTCAAAAAGAGTCAGTGCACTCAAAGAAGACAATATATATTAAGATTGAAAAGATGTAAGGGTATCTCATTCATAAGGTTATTTTCTCTCCTGCTACATCTAGAAAAAACTAATTTTATAATTTTCTCTAATAAGAATTCCTCTGAAGATATAAAGCTTAGTATCTATACATCAAACTTAAGTTACAGCTTTTCAATGAATGAAGACTATCTCTAAATGGTCTCCAAAGAATGCTCTGCTAACCATCATTACATTAAACATTAAACTAAAACATTAGTGTTTTGTTTGTGTTTGTTTCTCTAAATGACTCATATAAACACTAGTCTGCACACTCTATGAAAGTGTCAGGAATGTTTCTTTTTTTCTGGGTAATCTATAGTATTTAACACAAATCTGGCAATTTGTTCTATACACAAAAAAGAATTTTCTTACCAATATATTTCCTGTCCAATTTACAATATGCAAAAAGGTTTCTAAAAGCCTCTAGGGGTTGTCCATGAGACTCAGAAGGATACATTTCTAATTAATATTACTTAATAAGATGCTAAACTTTTTTTTTTTGGTCGGTCTTGGGGCCTGAACTCTGGGCCTAGGTGCTATCCCTCAGCTCTCCAGCTCAAGGCTAGCACTCTACCACTTGAGCCACAGCACCACTACTGGCTTTTTCTGCTTATGTGGTGCTGAGGAATCGAACCCAGAGCCTCATGCATGCAAGGCAAGCACTCTACCACTGAGCCCCCTTCCCAGCCCTAAGATGCTAAACTTTTTGAAAATAAACTTAGCAGTGCATTAAAATAATCTCTGTATTTCTACTGAAAATCAGGAACAAGTAGTTCATAAAGTACAGCGTATCTACATAAAAATAATGCATAATAACAAAGAAATTTAATAAATACAGTAATTTTTAATCCTGGAAAATAACTAAACTTGGGAAATGACTATAACAAACTCTCATTTGTTGTGAAGAAACTAAAAACCTTCGCTTGAAAGTATCATTAGTGGGACTGGGAAGGTGGCTCAGTGATAGAGTGCTTGCCTTGCATGCATGAGGCCCTGGGTTTGATTCCTCAGCACCACATAAGCATTAAAGTCAGAAGTGGCACTGTGGCTCAAGTGTAGAGCGCTAACCTTGAGCTGAAGAGCTGAGGGACAGCGCCCAGGCCCAGAATTCAGGCCTCACGACTGGCAAAAAAAAAAAAAAAAAGAAAGAAAGAATCATTAGCTTATGAGATATTTAAAGGAATACGAGTATATTGTATAAGAAAAGGTATGAAATGAATAATTTTAACCCTAAAATTGAATTAGTCTTCATAATATATAACATTCCATATATTAAGTTACATATTCTAGTATTATACATTATGTTACTACCTTATAAGATAATTCCATAATATTTCTAACTAGAAAGTTTTAATTTTTTTCAAATGAAAGTATTCATTACTATTTACCTCCAAAAACAGTACTGCTAGATTTGCCATTTTTGCAAAGCACATCTCAAAATTCAAATTGGCAAGTTTCATGTTTCTTTCCATTGCTAATGAAAACCTATTTGCTTAAAAACTGATTACAAGTTTTGACTTTATGGTTCAGCCAACTGTCTTACATTTCTTCATGTTTTCTCTTCTAGATACTCATTACTAGTCTGTATTTTTAATCAGAGGTGCTGTCTTAAAAGAGATTTCCTGGGGAGGATATTTAACTTCCTGGTTTTCAATCATCTGTTTATTTTAACTAGCTGTATTTACCCTCATTTCAATTGTCATAAGAAGTAAAAAATACACTGTTAGGTATAGTTAGTATTTGTGTATATGTGTGTATGCCTGCTTTTATAGAAATAGAGGAATAAGTGGTAACATGATCTTTGGAAGAAAAGTGAAATCTTAATAAACTTTTGAAAAGCAAGTCTCAATATGTTTGCAGAATCTTAAAACAAACATGAAATAAAGTTTCCCTGGGAAGATAAAAAAGTTCAGCAAAACTCAGAAGTAAAGTACTTTTAATATTTCCTTTGAAATTACTTCTTATTCTTGATATTTTATATCTTAATTAGCAGAATTTAATTGCTTATTGGGATGGAATAAGGCTGCTTAAACTGAACTGTCTAGAGTTTTCAATTATTGAATGAAGAATTAAACTCAACAAAATGTTTTGTACTATAATCAAAACATTCACATAAAAACCAATATCATATTTGCTTAAACAGAAAACATATAAATGCATTAAAATCTCTACTTGTAAAATAATTATCACAAATCACTTAACTGCTTTTAAAGTGTGACAATTAAAATATTATTTTTAAAAATTTCCCTAATTTACAACAGATAATTTCTATGCCATTTAGATATTAAAATCAATGCAGCTAGAATCTTTATAAAGCAGTGACAGTTTTCAGACACTGAGTATATTCTACCATTAAAATATTGTAAGAAAATTACCATACCTAGATCCCACGGCGCCATCTCCAGAGTCTTGGCTCCCAGCTTCACTTGGTGTGCTCACGGATTTGGAGGATGGAGACATAGGAGGAGGGACTAAATAGTGAAATAGACAGGTATCCGCTGTTACTACACGGAGAGGTTGCTCAGCTTATGACGTTTCAAAAATAATTTAACATGAAGTAATTAACAGAAAAGGAAAAAACAATGACAAACCAAAAAATGAAAATATATGAATGAAAAGAACAGTAGAAAGAAAAGGGAAAAGACAAAGTTAACAATGCATGCTAAAGATTCATGCAATTTCTCTGGCAAAATGCATTTGGGCTTTATATTTAAAAAAGAAAACAAGACAAGACTATGAAGGATGCATCTTCATCTCACCCATCATGAAATGTGGCCACTAATTTTCAAAGGAAAGCATTCCTTCTCCTCTTTCCAACTTCTCACTTTTAAGATTACTAGATTATAAATATTACTATTTTACTTAAAATTGCTGCCAAAATTAAAACCTTAAATGCCACTCCATTAAACAATTTATGTTGATTTTCCAAGATTTAAAATACTGCTTTTTGTCTAACTTTTAAAAAATTAACATTTGTAATTATTTTATTCCTCTCCCAACACTGAAAAAAGGACAATTTAGAGAAATAACTACAGCAAAGGAATAGTTCCTTTAAAAGGTCCATTAGTTTGCAGCAAATCGGGTGAAAAATGCCATAAAATAAAACAGGCCATAAAATAGCATGCCTTCGAAACATGATGCATAACATAAAGTGATGCATGCAAATTAAACAAGGCAAGACTTATGGTAACTTCCTTACCCCAGTATTCAGAAAAAACTGAAGTGTACAGACAAAGGATACAGACACCCAAAATATTCTTAATCCCTTCTTATAGAATAATACATTTTCATAGTATATAAAACAAATAGCAAATGCTTTCTACTAAATTATCAACTTTTAACACTATTTAACAGCAGTTTAACATGCACATATCATGCTATGACATTTGGAAAACTTTTTTCATTACTGTTATAGGAAGTATAAAAGGATCATCACTGCCATCTCCTGGCTAAATTTTACCATAAATGTCTCCAACCCCAAGTATCTTTCAAAATAATGTTTACTGTACTATATATTAAGTGATTTTGAGCCGAAAGCCCTTCTCTTAATAGTCTACTGAAGAAAAGGTAAGTTCCTAGTTATGGAACTAAAGAAATATTTATTTAATAAAAATCTATGTTCTTGGAAAAATCACATTCATTGAACCCTTAAAACTATTGAAGGGATTAAATATGTACATGTGTAGTAAAAACAACTGGTTTATCATCTAACAAAACATACACATTATGATGAATTATATCCTAAACAGATACAAAACTGATTTTTCTGTTTTCTTTTCTATTTATTTTTTGTGTGTGTTGGTCATAGGGCTTGAACTCTGGTCCTGGGTGCTGTTCCTGAGCTCTTCAGCTCAAGGTGAGTGCTCTACCACTTGAGCCACAGCACCACTTCCAGTTTTCTGGTGGTTAATTGGAGTCTAACAGACTTTCCTGCCTGGGCTGGCTTTGAACTGTGATCCTCAGAAGGATTACAGGCGTCAGCCACTGATGCTAGGCTTTTTTTTTTTTTTCTAAATAGCATATCCTATTGGTAACCAATATGATTAAAGGAAGAAAAATATCACTAGAATGTTTGTTTCCTGAGATATAGGAGTTAGTTCTTGCTTAAATTTCAAAGGCCAAAAGAAAATCAGTGTTCTAATTTTATGATCAAATATATCAATTATAATGTCAACCACAGAAAGCTTTATAGTTTCATATGTATTTTACATTGAACTAGAAGATGTGTAATTCTAAGTAGCTCAAAATGACCTAAATATAAAGTAAAAGAATATTATTGTCCCCTAACTTCTGACAGGTTACATTTCCCATTGAGTCTTCCCAGAGTCTCATTGAGTCTTCCCCTAGTTCAAGTCCCAACTAATACAGGAATAAAGAGTAATAGATGCTTACCTATTATAAACACAAATACATGTTTAAATTATAGTGAGGCTCTACAATACTTTCATATTAAAGATTTTCAAAGAAAAAATGTTATATTCTTTTAAATATATACTTAATACTTGAGAAAATAATTTTAAGTATACATAATATACTGTATAATTTGGAAAGATTGGTCAAATTTAGGAAATCCTATTAACATACTTATTTGTGATGAACCATAGGGTCTTTGTCCAATTTAATATGTTTTTTCCTCTTTTTGGTGATTTCAGCTATCAATGATTACACTCAGTAAGTTCAGCAATATTTTACTTGGTTAAGATGTATTTTAAAATGTTGATGAAAATTCTTTAAAGGAACAAACTAAATAATTATATAAACATAAACAGATAATTTAACCCATCCAGTTTTGAAATAAAAACTTCAGTAAAAAAAAGTTATCAGTGCTGGGAAGGTGGCTCAGTGGTAGAGCGCTTGCCTTGCATGCATGAGGCCCTGGGTTCGATTCCTCAGCACCACATAAGCAAAAAAGAAAAAAGCTGGAAGTGGCGCTGTGGCTCAAATGGTAGAGCGCTAGCCTTGAGCTGAAGAGCTGAAGGACAGCATCTAGGCCCAGAGTTCAGGCCCCAGGACCAGACACCCCCCCCCAAAAAAAAAGGGAAGTGGTGCTGTGGCTTAAGGGGTAAAGTGCTCGCCTTGAGCTGAAGAGCACAAGGACAGTGCCCAAGCCCAGAGTGCAAGCCCCACGACAAACAAACAAAAAAAAAAACTTATTAAGAGCATTGTGCTACCAAACTATCACAGTTTCTTAGCAACTAAGCTAGACATGATGGCTCATGCCTATAATCTTAGCTACTCAGAGGCGGTTGAGGAGATTTTTGAGGCTAGCTGGGACACGAAGTTCACAAAATAAAAAGCTGGGTAGTATGCACCTATATGGCAGTATGCACCTATAATCCCAAGTAGGAGAATCATAGTCCAGACTGCCTAAACACACACACACACACACACACACACACACACACACACACACACACACACACACACACACACAAAAGAGAGAGATCTTATTTAAAAAATAATGGAAGCAAAAACGACTGGGGGGAGGGGGAGTTGGCTCAAGTTGTAGCGTTATGGCTAGCAAGTACAAAGCCCAAAGTTCAAATCCCAATATAAAACAACAAAAAGCAATTAGATAAAAAAAATTTGATTCCAAAACTATATTCTTTGTGTTGATGGAAAGGACTCATTAAAAACACTTAGCAGCCAAGTGGTGGTGGCTCACACCTGTTATCCTAGCTACTCAGGAGGCTGAGAGCTGAGGACCGAGGTTCAAACCCAGCCCAGGCAAGAAAGTCTATGAGACTCTTATCTCCAATTACCACCAAAAAACCAGAAGTAGCGCTGTGACTCAAGTGGTAGAGCACTAGCATTGAGCTGAAGAGCTCAGGGACAGCGCCCAGACCCAGAGTTTAAGCCCCACAAGCACCACCACCAACAACAGCAAAAAAAAAAAACCCCAAAAACAAAAACAAAAAACCTCTTAGCTATTATCTTGCTACTAATTTCATTTTGCAATAATATGGTTATATCACAGAAGTGACAAATACAGAAAATTACAATTACTATCATTGTAATGGAAGAATGTTAATGGGAGTAACAGGAAACGTAGATATTATTTGGCAATTCCCACATTTTAACCCAAATTAGTTCTCTGAAAAAAAAAATCAAAGAATACAGTAATTATTCAATAAGGCAATGAAAGCCACTATATTCTAAATTCAACAAACCCTGACAATAAAGCATATATTCAAAAAGGGAATATAACCTTAACTTATAGGCTCTAAAACGTAAGAAAAGACCCATTTCTGGAATTAGTATTAAAGGATAGCTTATGAGTTCATTCAGCTTTGAAAATAATACAGGCTAGTAATAACTAGCATTAGCCAAGTATTTGAAATTGGCTAGTAATAACTAGCATTAGCCAAGTATTTGAAATATGATTAGTTTAATAAGAACAGTGACTTCATCATATTATGTTTACTCCATGATTCTAGGTTAAAAAGTCTAAAATAGGCTTTAAATTGTACAAAATAAAAGCACATAAGTAATTTGAGTGTATTAATGAATGTATGCCTCTTAGAAATTTATAGCAAAGATACTGCCTACTCCTTTATTTGAAAACCAAGGAAGAACTGTATAAACTTTAAAAAGGAAATATATACCAAAAAAGCTTTCCCTTTCACAGAAATAATACTGAAAGGCTGAAACTCTTAACTCACTAGGACAGAAAGCTAATGAAGAAAGCTTTTCCTGTCAGCTAACATCTTTGCTTTTCAAGTTTTATATCCTTGAAACATCTAGAATATTTTTAAAGTGTAAAGGTCCTGAGAATGAAGTTCAATTCAGAATCAGCCCTAAGTCTGAGTCTACACAGAAGCCTTAAGCGGAAAAGAGCTTACACTGTTCAATTATTTGTAGAAGCTAAGTCTTTGGTAAGTAGGGGCTTTTAGCAGAAGGACAGAGAGAGCCCACGAACTTGAATGTAGTGTAATGGGAAGGAATAAGCGTCACAGATAACCCAAAGTTCTGAGATCTGGCATTACCATTATGCCCCCTTGTGGATACATGTGCTCTTAGACTGAACATTAATATTTAAATATTTAAGTTATTTTTTTGTCCTTCTGAAAGATATTGCTTTAAATATTAACCATTGGAAATATTTATTTCTCCATTTCCCGTGTTCTTTCTTCTGATAATAAAGATTAAATGTTAAATATTCTCTTTACTAGATTTCAGAGGATTAAATTTTGAAAAAGAAAAAAATATATAGAATTAAAATATCATAAACAGCAAATACTCCTGTCATAGAACAGTTTGTAAAAATTAAGCTATACTTACTTGCCAGGAGGTGGTGGCTCATGTCTGAAATCTTAACTACTCAGCAGACTGAGATACAAGGATCTCAGTTTGAAGCTAGCTGGGGCAGGAAAGTCTGTGAGACTTTTATGTTTAATTAACCACCAAAAAGCTGAAAGTAGAGCTGTGGCTCCAGTGGTGGAGTGCTAGTCTTGAGCCAAACAACTTCAGG